AACAAGAAATATCCAAAATAACGGAAAGAGACATCAGGAACGCATTGCGCAACATCAAGAAACGGATGGAAAGATGCTTGGACTGCAATGGAGGACCGTTCGAACACTTGTTGTAACGTAAGTACTCCGGAACGCTTGCTGAGAGACCGAAATAATTCAGAGAATTTTTATTTTCGAATAAGTTTAGGACATAAGTATGTTAGTACTTTTATGTAGAGCATAAGAAACTACATCGACTGGTGTAGTCAAAAATATAGGTTTTCATTTTAAAAATGGAGTGCAGTTGCATTTTTCTGATGCACAAATGCACAAAAGTGCATAAAATTAGTTGCATATTACGCATCGTCTGATACCATTTATCTTTGACTTATAACATATTTTTCTATTCCCAACCGTTTAGGTTCCCAACTGTTCCAGTTGCGTGGGACACCCTGTATACCGGTTCCACTATATTCGGTTCGCTGATCATTGCCTATAGATACGAAATTATACGAAATACGAAATGGAATCCGAGCCGGAACACCGAAAAGAATTCGCAACACAATGTTTCGTAACGGATATTAATTGATTGTATTGTACTTCCTATTAGTTAACGATTCGATAGTCTCGTCAAACTGCAATAAGGACATATTACAGGGAAAACACGAGAAAATTTCTTCCTCCATTTTTTAATACGAGGAAATTAATGTTGAAAAAGTCGTGAATGCATGTCGAGTTTCACTTACAATTAGCTAACATGTCCGACTATTATTCGTTTTTTCTACTTATATTATTGTTTGTTAGTATGATATTACCTGTATTCTGTTGATACTATTTCCTAGCTAGATCAGAATCAGTTGAAACAGATAATATCGTTCCACCAATAATGTTTTCACAAAAATAAGTAGAAATATCGACCAATGGCCAGACACGCTAATCAAGTTCTCGAAATTTATACATTAACGGATGTTTGCGGAAAAAATCTCCTATGAAAAAATTGTGTAGCATATTTTCGATTAACTTTCTTGCGTTCAATGACATCAGTAACGTAACCAGAAATTCTGGGTCCCGTAGTCTAAAATCTACTTAGATTAAACAAGATACTCGTATTTGCTAATTATTACAGACCACATATTTACGTGAAAAGATAATTGCTTTTCGTTTGTTGTATAGTCAGGGCCCGTGTAATTCTGCACTCTGTTCAAGAATTCTATGTAAAGACTACATTAGCGTGCACGGGTATATCGAGGGTACTGTGCACAGAGTATCTCTTATTGATATCACGACGGAGTAGAAGTCTATTTATAACTCCCGCCGTTAAATTACCACACATCACATTGGCATTGTTCCTTTTTAAAGTTGATTTATCGGAAGCGCGCGGTACGTAACACACTGCACTTACATGGAATGTTGCATACGCCACATAAATATTTATTTTCTATTTATAGCCGGTTGCTAACTTCACGACGCGATACGAATATTCTTTCGTTTGTAGTTTTCAGACGGGAACGTAATATTTCAATAGCCGGTGGTACACGGTTGCTCGTGTCGTATAACGCGGTGTAACACGTTCCACGAGATCGAGTAGGTTTAGGAACTGTATGGTCAGACATGTCAGTAACTACATAGCAACGTATTGTCGTATCCGAGGATACGAGCTAGTAGTATTACCACGGAGTAAGCGAAACGATTTCACAGTAGTACAAGTCAGCATTCGACGCGTGTGCCAGCCAGGGAGTAATGAACCTGTTACTGATACTTCAGTATCGTAGATCTGCTTACCTCCGTCTATATATCAGTTGATTTAAGCCGGATTTTCGAAGGGAATTATAGAACGTAACTGAAAATATCGTTTCCAGACGAAATTATTCGTAGGAGATTTTCAGAAAGTTTTCTATCACGATCGTATCGAGAATATCATTAGTCCAGCGGATGATACACCGTTCTATTTCGGATGCCATTCGCAAGAACTGAAAATTCCAGACGTTGCGTGTCCCCCGGCTCGTTCAACTTTATATTACGGTCGCTTCTCACGCGAGCTAAGAACGCTTTACGTGCGATTGTACGAACAAACCAATTCTCTACCTAAAATGCGCGTGTATTTTGGGTCTAAAACGCGAACGGTGTTATACGTTGTTCGTTGTACGAAGAAACCGTGTTTAAAGATTGCTGTTCAAGATGCGATAGCTTCAGATTTTATACGAAGGTTGATCTTCTTGTTTGCAAAACTTCCGTAGACAGGATACGTTATGGAAACTCGGTTGAAACGATCCAAGGCATTGAGATTTCACAGAAGTTACCTGTACGAACGAATTATTTTGAGTGTAAAGTGTGATGCGTGTTATAAGTTGTTCGTTACATGGTTTGTGTTTAACCATAGAGTACTCTGTTGAGGTCTCGGAAATTCCAGTTCGTAAATATTACTTTATAACTAGTAAATGCACAGCACCTGATGCATGTGCTTTTGTATACCTTTCAAGTAACTCACGGTGAATGCACTCCAATGTCTTCATATCCAGTGTGTTGTATATATTGTAAAGTAAAGAGATAGTTGAATCCGCAAGTCTCTACTAGAGCACGTTGTTTATTTCGATCAAAGTGTAGGTGTAAGAAATTTATACACGTACATTCAACCTTGTCATCGAAGTAGTATTCTTACTCATAGATTATTTATATTACAGTATAGAGAAAATTTCCAATACATGGAAAGCAGAATGAACTTCTCAAGAACATGAATGAAACAAATATACGTTGACATAAATGTAAAATGGCTATCTGCGAGAAACGAATATTTCACGGTTGTCCGATTATGTATTTATATTTCCACTTTACTTTAGAAGACTTTGTTCTGTATCTGACAAATTTCCTTACCTTTACGAGTGCAATATCAATGGGCAAATAACATTAGTAATGTATTTACGAGAGCCATATATTGGTCAGAAAATTGCATCATACAAAATCAAGAAAGCATATCACTTGTATTTATGTAAGTTTTGTTTGGTGTCACGTGAAATCCACTGGTGCATCAATGATACAATTTCTAGGTCAAGTACCAAATGGTTAAAGATCGTTGTTCATAAGCAGGTAGCTTCGGATTTAACACGATGGTTATACTTCTTTTCAGACGATTTCTTTGGGTACATTAAATTAAAGAAGCATCTTAAAACGTTCCACGATATCGTGAGTTCAAGAGAAGTCACTCGTATTTTAAACGTAAAGAACGAACGATGCCCCACTTTATTTGTTGTAGGAATAAATTGTAATTAAAGATTATTATTTAAAATAAGACAGCTAGGGCTTTGATACGGAAGTTAATTTCATTACTAAAAAAAATTTCTTATGTAGGTTGCAGTAAGGAATACGACTGAAGTGATTCATGATACCGTGAATTCAAGCAATTCAACGAATCTTCTATCTAAAATGCGCAGGTTCGATGCATTTCGAGCTGAAAACATGAACGATGTTATACGTTGGTCGTTGTATGAAAGAACTGTGTTTAGAGATTTCTATTCAAAACGAAATATCTTTGGGTTCGACGTGGTCTTCTTCTGTAGAATCTTGAAATCAAGGCTCCTATTTTATTCAGATATTATTGATAATAGCTTTCTCAAACTTTTTTTATTTATGTGTTCTGGTAAAGTAATATTTATTTATACACCATTCGCATACTTTTATATTATTTGTTCGATAAGAATGATGTCTTTGGTGCGTCAAAGGCTTGGTTTCTGCCTATATTGATTAACTTGTTATTTATTTTAATCTTCTAATTCAGAAGTATTACCTTAATTCCGTAATTCGAAATTCTTAACGATAGTATTTATTTAATTCGTGAATTGTTTTTGTTTTTATATTTATTCTTCGAATCTAATTACAAGTGATATTAAACTTGGATTCCATTGCGACTTGTGACTCGCAATGGTTCCATCTGTGCAAGCAATCGTGTGCACCAAAATGAAGTTTGCTACAGAAACTCGGTGATTAGTTTAATTGTATAAGATCTTTCATGAAATGCAAATGAGGATATAATAGCATAGAGAGTCATCTTTCTGTTAGATCTTCGAGCGTTTTGAATTTTACGGTTATCTTATAATTCCCACGTTGTCACCAATTTTTCGTATTCGAAACAAAAGTTTCATGTAAATGAAAAGAAAAAAACAGTGGTTTTTTGAAGATCCAGAGTAGAATACCCGCTTAACGCGAAGGTTAATCATCGTTTAGGAGTATTTCTTTAAGCAGAGCGTATTAACGAGCTCGGGTGAAACTATTCACTATATTGCGAATTCAAAAGAAGCTACTCGTCCCTGGTGGCTCGACGCGTCTTAAATCGATTTCATAACACCGGGAAATTAATTGAAACGCGGGAGGAAACCACTCGAACACCTTTTCCCGAGGCTTGTGCTCGTTTGCAGAGATAGCGGCGGAACTACTGCCCCGTGCATTAGAACGCCAGAATAAACGAAGCGCTCGAGCGGAAACCAAAGGAACGAACCCATTAAAGATACAGATTCCGAACTCGAACGCGTGCCTCATTTAATCAATTTCTCGTGTAACGTTCCACGTGGGGATTCCTGTATGCGAAAGGCGTTTAAACTCTATCTGGCACGATGCCTATCGCAATAATTAACAGCGTGTACGCGCGTCTGCGTATTGCATCGAGGGAATAAAACGACGAAAAATATGATAGAAACGAGGTCCGAGGTCGGTTGATCCACGACGGTACGGAGTAACGTCGCGGAATAGTCCGAGAAGAGGGTCGACCGAGCATCAATCGAGCGTGTAATCGTCGACAGAAACGTCGAATTAGAAATGAGGAAACAATCGGAGCGAAATGCACGGCAGTTACGCGAGGACAGCCGAAAGGGGTGGCTGATTCGTGGTCGCTCGTCGAAACGATCGGCCACGGTCGACGTAGTTCGCGTACCATCGGCGACACAGCGCCGGCGCTATGCAACCTACTTGACGTAGCAAGATGGCGGCGGCGTGTCGGAGGCGTCTCCGTCCGCACAGTGCTCGACGTCGAGCAGTCCGCGTACGTTCGCAACAACGTTTGACCGCATTAATGTGGCCGTGCATCCGGAGCACCGCACACGTCCGCGGCCACGGTGCAATCTCGTCGATCGCACCGTAAATCGCCAACAATCAGAGAAAACGACGCGCGATACAACGGGACGTCGCGATCAACGCGACCACCGCGATATACATAGGAGCCAAAGTGTGAACTCGATCGTCCCGTTCGCGACGTTCCTCGTTGATTTCATTGTGGTGCGTGCTACTCCTTCTTCCCTGTGCTCCCCTCACGTCCCCCTCGTACTTCCTCTTTCCTTTTTCCCTCCGTTTTTCTCACTCTTTTGTTTAACAAACCCCGATCTGAACGTGCCTCTGGCACAACCAGTCATCCGCAAGCTCTGCCCGCACGCACACATACGCCTCGCGTGTTCCTTATTTCTTCTTTTCTTTCCACCCCCACTCGTCTAGTTTGTTCCGTGTCCGTTCCGTGTTCCCCTCTTTATCTCTGATCGCGGTGAAATGCCCGTAACCGGTCGTGGCTCGCGACGACGACGAAGACGAGGCGGCTGTCGTTGGTGCACGGTTCCTTGACGAGCACGGGATACGTGCAAACCGGCGCATGCACTGCAGCCCCTGCTACTATGATAATAACGAGAAAGGTGGCACGGTGGGCGCTCCTCCTGAAGCGAGAGGCGCTCGGCCGAACCTACGGTGCACAAAAGCGGTCAGAACAAGCACCCCGCGTTGCAACGGCGATGCTGCCCCGTTCCGGCCGGGTAGATGACAACATCGACACCGACACCGACACCGACACCGTGGCCACCGACCTGCGGAGGACCAGCAGCTGCGTCGCGCTGGCGCTGCCGTTCCCATACTACTATCGCTACTGCCCTCGTGCTGGCATCGCCGTCTCTCTGTTAAACCTGGACCGCCGCACGCTCGCTAAAGACCACGAGGACGACTCGTTGCTGCCGATAGCGAGGATCGACGACGACACGCAGCGAGCGGCACCGACGGCTACGACTACGACTCCAGCAGAATCGACCGAACCGAACACGGCGGAGCAACAGGAAGCAGCGGTACACGGCGAACAGGAACGCGCGAACGCGCCGAGAGGATTAGAAGAGGAGGTTACGGTGCTCGCGAGCGTGGACAGCAGCCGCCTTAACCGGCATAATAACGTGCCAGGTGCACGATTTTGCGCGTGACCAACAGCCCCTACGCTGTTACGACGAGTCGACGATAATCGCGGGTGCGATTCGTGCGGTACCGGTTAGCGCGTAACGGTTACGAGTGAAACGGGACGATCCTCGTGCACGACAGTGAAATCGCGACGAATTAACGCGTCGATCGCCGTTTTGCGATCGGGGTCCAGCTCAGACGAGCTTCATATTACGGAGATATAACTCTCTCTCTCCCTCTCTCTCTCTCTCTCCCTCCCTCTCTCTCTCTCTCTCTCAGTCTCTCCCTTTCTCACTGTACGGGAATTACGGAACGAAGTACGCGCGTGATCTCGTATCGTGGATATAAGCACAGTGTGTTTCTTTCTTTCTTTTTTTTTTGAACAAGAGTGCGCGTGTAGAGAAGTTTGACGGGTTCGAGTACCCGTGGCACGACCGCGAATTTTTGAGAAGGTTCGTCGGCGAAGAGGAAGAGAGGTTACGTGTCTCGTTGTTGACGGTGCACGCGTGCCGATCGACGACGGAGAAACTCCGGTCGTTCGTTAAAGGACACGCTGTGAACGCGTTGTCGAACGAGGAAGAAGCATAGAATACACACATACACACACACAGAGGAATAATAATAAAAAAAAAGAAAAAAAAAAAGCAGAACAAAAGAACGGGAGAAGTGTGATATCGACTGCCCGTTGCATTTGTACTCCTGCTCTGAAATTTCGATTCGTGTAGCGCCATATCGCGACACATATATACATATTGTATCTTTCTCTATCTGTTTGTCTGTCTGTCTGTTTCTCTTTCTCTCTTCTTCTATTTCCCTTACTCTGTAATATTTACATATATATACATACGTATTATATACATACATACATATATATATATATACGAGTACATATATGCACGTATAAACACACGCGTGTCCCGTATTCGCACGTTATACGTGGTACCAGGCGCACAGTGCGAAAGAAAATAGTAATATCGGTGCGGAAAAGGGGGTTGTACCGTCGTATACGCGAGTGTGCTCCTTCGATCCGGCGTGTCTCGTTATATAGCTGCATCACTTTCCTACGGATCTCCACGCCGCGTCAAGTGCCGCTCGGCCAATTAAGCGAAACTCTCAGCGTTAAGCCGATCTACCCGAAGATCTTCGAACATGTCGCTGCTCAGCGTCACGGGTGAGTCTTTCTGCCTCTTATTTCGCTCTTTCCTTTTTCCGCGATATTTGAGGACGCCGGCTCCAAACGACCGAACGAGCACGTCACCCTTTATTCGATTAAATTATTCGCGACACTTGCTCCACAAGATTACTCAAATTTCTACTAAATTTTTATTTCTGTTCGATTTCGTAAATATATATTTTAAAATAAGCAGGATAAATATTTCTATATTAATTTCAGCTCGATAAAGGGCATCTACGATAAGGCAAACAGATTGACCTTTAGTTTGGGGTTATTCTTAAAACAAGCTTTATTTGATACCATTTTATTAAATTAAGCAGTTGCCTCATTATTTTTGAAGGACCACATGGAACAATAAAAGAAAAAGTATATATCGGGACTACGTGATGATAAAGATGAGACACGAACACACGTTAAAGAATGGTTAGTCGTGAATGAAACGTTATTAACGCGAAATATAAAATGTTGTACGCATCTTATTACATATCGTGTAATTGAGGTTAAAGTTTTGCAACGAAATTTTGATATCAAAGTTTTTGAAAATTGCTGTAGTTGTTTTTGGGATAACGTTGCGGCCGTTAATTAAGATATTTTCTTCCGCGCCGGTTTATTCGAAATCTCCTGGAAGACCGTGAAATACAGTCATAGAGCTGGCGATAAAGTAAGGTTAGAGCACTGTGCAAGGATGGCTGCCTCGAAACGTCCCGAATATTTTACAGCGCCCTCGTCAGATTTAAAACTTTTCCTTGCCTTTTTTGAATAAGCTGTTTGAGGGAAGCGAATGATCCTAAGCAGGGTTGCAGATATACATAAGCGTTTGAACGATGGTGCTGTAGCGAGAAAAAAATTTCCGAGATGCACAGATGGAACGTTAATTGATGAACAGTTTAATTATGTTAGCGCTGAAGATAACGGCCGACTCGTCTACGGTGTGCTTCAAGCATAGAAACACATTTAGTTACGTATTTTTCTGAGACGTTGCTGCAAACGATAACAAACGATAATGGAGCTAAATTTCTTTTTATGTAGCTATTATTCAGCGAATAAAAGTTCGAATTCTAGTTTATATTTCTAGTAAATTTCATTTTTATTTCAAATAACTAGCATTTCTTTCTGCAGTTCTTGGACGTTTTTCTACCCTTTTTGCGGGTTGCACCTGCAGCGGTACTTGACATGCATTTCGCAATCTCATACTCTGCTTTCTATATACTTCTATATATAGAATATACAACCGTATATTTTTTAATTATAATTTAGATAACTATTTTCTTAATGTAAACGAATGAAAAATTTGTACACTGTAAAGTTACAGGTATTTGAAATATTTCAGGGTAACCTTTTTACTGTACAAATACGTTAGAAGTAGAACAGGAAATAATTGTTAGTTACATTTGCGTGCGAATTTATAATTAATCCGACAAACTCGCAATGTTTGCTCTGGTTTGTAATTTTCGCTTATTCTTATCTATTCATTCTTCTCTGTTGAATTCCACGAATGAGTTCTACTTGGAAAACATTTCTCAGGTGAATAAATTACGTATCTAGATACCAGAGCTGCTTTCCAGCGAATAAAAAAGATACGAAACGCACAGCAAATGTCTTCAGTGCGCGAAGATATTTGCTTAGCAAACAACCGAGTACAAGCGCGGAGAATAAGTTTGAAAAATTATAGAAATTCTATAACGGTTCAATGGCCGTTGCCTTCGTTCTCCGCGGATATTTTGATTAAAAAAGTGTAAGCGGTACGAATTATTTTGCAACTTTAAATTACACTGCGACTCTCACGCGATAGCAATTACTAAAATGACCAAAGTTGGAAATTACGTTTCGGACAACGAGGGTCGGTACCAGGTAGATAGGATGTCCTTTTTATTGGAAAACCATTCGAAGATGGGGGATAGAGGGAACTAGGAGTAGTGTTAAGTGTCGACGTGATATTTTCATTGGTATCGAGTAACACGATCGGGTTAACCTTTCTTTATTTTTGCAAGTAGATGTCAGAAATTGTTCTCCTCTGTTTGATTACTTCTTGAATATAGCTTAATGAATAATTACTCACGCTTCGGTTATCGATCAGTCTGCCTTTATTTAATTAGTTTCAACGATCTTACCTTACTAAGAATTTATCGCATTAGACGGATTTCCACGTCAGTCACGTACTAAATTTGAAATTGTAAGTTCTGAAACAGAGGTCAACGAACTCTAATCCCGTTCGTAGACCGGAGTATATATCGAGCTATTATTTAGTCTTTGTTTTCTTTTCGATATACAGATTAATATCATTTCTCAATATATTGGAGTGGCATTAACTTCACGACGAAATATTTGGGATTTTCTCTCTATTCCGACTTTTGTATTCAGGCTCACGTAGTCCGGTTATTGAACGATTTAACCCAGTAGTAGAGACCACCGAGAGAAGAGTTACTGGAAAAGATATTTCTGGGTTAGTCATGCTCGGCCATTGACCACTGCCGATACTCTCTAATGTATCTTTCCAAATATACTGTGAACTTTTGCTTGCATTCATGTCTATGTATAGACGTTCCTTATGCTTTGCCGGATAGAAGGAGAACAAAGTTCATGCACGGTTCTTAGAAAATCACGTAAATCGAAACCCATTAAAAAATTGCAAATAATACGTTTTCTCCGCTTCTGTTATTTTCGGCGGACGAATATTCGAAATCCGTATTTATACCGTGTGCCGTAGCTGTGTTTGTTTTTTGACGGTTCGCTTAAATCAGAGGCGCCTATGTTTTGTCACGATAAACCAATTTTCCGAGCAATTTGCACCAGCTACTGCAATTTAAGCACGTTCGAACTGTATGACATCGTGGTATCAGTGACATTAGAGAAATCACGCCCGTGACCGAAGGCGCTTCTGGTTAATTCGAGGCAGATAGAAGTCAGCGCGAAGGCAATCAACCGCGGTCGATAAAATTCTCTCCTCGTCGCGCTTTCCGTAGAAAAATCAATGCTGACACACCATGGCTGTAAGGAAATATCCCGAGCAATCTTTTCGAGGAACGGCACGAGCCGAACGCTAAGGACGTATTGACCAAACGGCGGTATAGAAGTAATTCCCGATGGTTCTTTTATCTCTGTCCCATATCTAGCCATAAATATCGTACGGTCTTCCTGTTCATCTAGTCACGTAGTCGCACGTGCACGGGCCGCGCGTAGGTGTATTCAGGTGGTAACGTTCCTCCGACAGTACGCAGTCGGTATACACTGATAACAAAGCGCATGAGTGTTCGTCTATGGCTACGGGACACCGAGAGAGGAGAAAGAGGAGAGCATAGTGCAACGGTTGACCCCGGTACACGGGGTCATTCCCTTCTTCAACCACCGCCAACCCCCCACGCCCATCCGGTTCTACCGTTCACCTACCGTCCCTACTACCGCTGCTCTTCCCACCCCTTCTCGTCCTCGTATCCTCCACCGACGCTGCCATCACGACCACGCAACTCCACTCTCCTCTCGTTCGCCCGGCCAGCGACGTAGCTACGAGGTGCTACGGGAACGTAAACTCCTGTGCATACATTGGCCGACAGGAACGATCTTTAGCTCCACCTAGATCTTCCTTTGCCTGTCAGTCTGGAAGACGGGTAATAACTTGCCAGATGTTTGATTTATGGTAATGTTGATGGCAATGGACTCTAACGTGTACCGATATACCTCTACTCGCCTGCCGGAGCTAATGACCGAACTCGTAGCACCTGGAGGAGTCGGTTGATTCACCCTTCGATGGCCTGAAATTTTGCTCCCATCGCGTCGACACTGACTTGGATCAAACGAACTTTTTTCCCCCCATTTATTTGCTGACTACTTTCACGACTCTAGTATCGGTCGCTTGGATATATTTTGGGACAGAAACATATTTGATTTAGTTTTCTAATTTAATATTTGGTCTCCGTATAGAGCTATTTCGGCACGAAAAATGCATTCCAAATTACTTCCCCCCACGGGGCTTCGATTTATTCGATTATTCGTATCCCGATTTAAGCCGGTAAATTGAGATCCAGGCTTATCGTAAATTGGAATAATTCCCCAAAAATAGCGAATCTCTATTTCTGTTTATTAGTTACAAAGCAAAGACTTGAACGTCGGATCCGGAAATGGTTTCTCTTTGGACTTGAAAAGTACAACGGACCGACGAGTACGAGAGCCGATATATTTTTCCGCACATTGATTTTCTTGGAATTGATGGGAAACCAGTGCCCGAGAACTCGAGCAAGATTAATAGGAAAATCCTTCAGGATTTGCAGTTCTGGAGATTACACGGATGAAATTTAAATGTAACAAGAATTTATGTTGCTTGCGTTATTTATTGCTGGGTGACTACAGTTCGAGCTCGTGGCTTTATTTATTCGTCTCTGGTGTATCGACGATAAAAATAGGTCGTCTGATTCGACGAAAAATGTCGACGTCTCGGGTTCCTTTGCTATTCCATTCCGAAGATACCGTATCCGCGATGGCGTTTAGTCCGCCGTTTGTTGTCGGGAAAGATCATCGAGGAGATTGACGAGGAAATGACATAAACATCGGACGAGGTTCGATTGAGATTGAAGGATTATGGTTGGGGATATTTTTAGGTGTATATTTTTGAACGGCGCGGTGACGCAGGTTATTCAGGTCACCTCGAAATCCAAATACGTCGAGGGAAACGAGACTAATAAAGGAATGCTTTCACGGCGCTTCTGATTACGTGTGCCTCGCGAGTTATTATAAAAATGAAAGTGAAGAAAATGGAACAGTCGAGAACATTTTCTTAGGGAACAGTGTGTTCGGGGGTGCGCGAACGCGAGTCGCGTTAATTTGTTCGCGAACATGAAAGTACGAATTCCTGCCGTTATCGTCACAAAGAACACGTAGATGTAACAATGCCAGCGTCGCGAAATCTCGGGAGGGTGAGAAACAGAATAGAACGAGTTCCCAGAGCAACGACATGTTATTGACAAAAAAAAAGAATATGATGGATTGTTCGGTGCTTCTAGTGT